GTCACCCGTTTCTACTACCCTTAGCTCTATTACTCTCATTACTGAACCCAAAATAATATTCAACTGTACCTTGCAAATATACACATTGCTTGTTTTTGTTGGTGTGCATTAAATTTAATTATAATTAAGAGTAACCGGTAAAATTGAAATAAACGACACCAAAAATGTAACAAAATCGAATATAAATATCGGCAAGAAATTTTATTGCGCATTTGCAAATTGTTGAACACAGATTAATGTCTGCAACATGTTAGATATTTAATGCGTCTGTTCTAAGTGACAAGAGCGAAGGGTCGACTATATTACGTCAAACACAATAGAGAGGAATCTGTTGTCAGTTACGAATAGAATAATACAATGTAGAGAACTACTGTTGGCTGTGTGTGCATTCATATATGTTTCAAGCGAGACGTTTAAGTTGACTTCAATCAAATGTCAAGAAGTAAACATTTTTAATTCACTTTGAACGTTCAATCGTTAAATAGTTTGACTATATAAAGACCGAGTAATATTTCATGAAAATTCATTTGAAATTTTTGCTTAAATTATTATTTAATATTTTATGAATATTAAAATAATTTTGTTTTTCGTATAAAATTAGTTCTAAAGCCGAGATACTAATAAAAAAAGAAACATTAAAATCCTTATAAAAATTGTAATTTCAACAGCTCATTAAACACAACGTTATAATTACTATTGTACTAATTTTAAAAATGATTTCGAACCGACCTCGCATCATCATATTTTCTTGCACTCTCTACACTTTAATGGGCCAGTAAAACTCCTAACTTAAATTGCGTATTAAAAGAACTTCATTAAAGATATATAAATACCACGAGAGATGTGGATGTAATACACGACTTTTGTTAACAACATTTCTTTTTAATTCTCGGACAATCATTTTCATTTGTATGCCAGAAGATTTTCTAATTGAAAAAAAATTATATAAGTTTCCTTAAATAAATTAATTCATTGATTATCTGTACTGTGCGGATCGAAGTCACCACCTCGGGCCTCCAAAAAATGTAGGCTTTTAACATATTAATGATTGTTTTTGTTCGTCATTAAAAAAAAATGTCTTAAATAATGTGGACATTTTTTGGAAGTTTATTTTTGTTCGACTGTGGAATGAGCTCTGGACCCCCTCTTGAAAGACAACACCTGATTAAAAAATACACAGTAATTATGCTACACGGTGTACCTGATTTTTGAAAATGTCTGCAACAAAATTTACTTGATGTTTTTTTTTTACACAACTAATGGTAATACAATGGAATTCATTAAGTATTTATTGACTCGATCCGACAGAAAGGTATTCAATATCAGCTGTGATAAGTAATTACGAACCCGGAAAAGCGGCGTAGGAGAAATGTTTTTTAATATAATTTGACGTCGGCACTTAGATTTCTATACGTGTTTCGTGACAGTTACACGTGCAAAGGTCACATACCAAATGTTATTGTTTGTGTGGAGGGTGGACACCGATGCCGTACCATTTTGCAAACGTTTTTATCATAGTATTTTAATGGCCGGAAAGTTGGGCGATGGTTATTAAAGACGTTTTGTATAAGTATTTACGTATACAATGCTTAAAACGATCACTAAAATCCATATTTTGCAACTGTTAAAATACATTCTCCGAGAGTGTTTTTGTAATTTATTCCTACCGCGTCTTTGTACACATTTTCGCCGCAAATCGTTATAGAATGCTGTACATACACATCCCCCGTAGGCGGCCCATAAATTGAAATCTGTTGGGGAATTTGGAATGCTCAAGTGATCATTATTACCATACGTTCACGTAGAATACGTTCATTTCCTTGCCGAATCCTGCGTCACATTCAATTTGGTTACCAAAATTTTACTTGGGTTAAACTTTTTCCTTTTTGTCATTGATGTATCCTGAAACGATGAATAATCAAGAAAAAGTTGTATAGTCGATAAAAACTGATAACATTGCGCAATAATGTGAATGTCAACATGATTAAACCAATGGCCTCGATTTTACTTTACACTAGCATAACTCCTATTTTTTTAGATTTCAGTCAAAATATGGTCACTAAAATTAAATTAAACACAACTCCTAGATGCTACGGCATTTTCAGGTACCCTCTTAGGACACACGACTGAATGACACTATACAATTAAATGGCAAGATTTATTAATATTATTATACCATAAGAAGTATTCATTCACAAAAATATTCCATCACAAGTATAGTAAAGCTATAGTTTGTACTTGAACGAAAAAATCTTGAATTTAGATTTAAAACTTGTTCATTGATCGACAAGTTTGTATAATAACAAAATTAATCCTGATTCATAATTATTTTAATCTTTCCTTAAATAAACATTTTGAGGTTTGTATTAAAAAATAACTAACCATAAATATTTCTAGAAAAAACTTTTATTATCGTAAAACTTGTGAGGATACCATATATATTGCTACATTACATGTTTAAGCCAAACATTTCCTACATTATCCAACACAATTTTCCACCTGATCGCTCATCATTAACATTGTGTGTTGTTTCGCTAGTTTTAAAGCCTTCGTTGCCAACTAAATAAGATTATTTCCACAACATTAGCAGCTTTTATTTTATTGTAAACATTTATTTGGTCAAGTTAACTTTGTTTTATGTATTTTCATCTAGTTCTTTTAGATTAACTTATATCAACCGATCGATTTCAATTGACAAATTAACGTCCCAATTCAAAACTGCAACGACTCGATAAATTATGGTTTTAAGGTTTGGATTTCTAAATTGTAGTTCATTATTCAACATTTAAAATTTATAAATCCAATTCAATATAGCGAAGTTATTTCCCAAAAAGAACGTTTTGTAAATCGAATTTCATATTGGGGATAACATTTTTTTTTTAATCGTCATACTGGAAAATTGGATTATTTGAGTTGTTGAGTTTTGACTGGGGCATTGAATTTAATGAAGTTATAAAAAATGTTCATATTCAGTGCAATAATGAATACAATAAAAGCAATCAGTTCAAATCGTTGTATTTAATTTGTCTAAATTATAAGCAAATCTATACAAAATCACAGTAATGTATAATAAACTATAAATAATGTATATCTTCGAGTTATCTATTGTTTTTCTTTCGAGTAATCGAGATTTTCTCAAGGGAAAATAAATTTATTCGCCTCATCGAAATTCTACTGTATTTAATTAATAATATCAGATATTTTCATTTGAATATGTTGAATCTCCATGGATTGTTGTATTTTCTTTGGAATATTTTTCAAGATCTGATAGAAAATAATAATTGGAGTAGAAAATTGTATTTTTCTTGTTAAAAAAACAATAAAAAAATGATAAAATGTTTAATTTTGTTCAGTAAATAATACAAATTATTGGCTTTTCATTAAAGTTGTTTACAAGTATTTTTTTTATTATTTTGTGAGATAAAGTCGATTTTTTTTTTGATATTTGAAAGATTCCCCACTACAATTGGTCGTTATTGTATTTTATCTGTTACTAACGGAAAGGTTTAGGGACAATGGTATCGTGATATTCGTGTATTATTTCTCTTTTTTCATTTATCTTGAAATATTTAGAATATTATTGATAATATTTCATAAAAGACTAAATTTATGATCAAAATATACAGGTTATCAGAATTTAATGAACCAGCAAATTTTTTAATGAAATAAAAATAATATTGATTTTTTTTTGGTTTTATTTTAGTTCCATGTTTTTCTTAATTTATTAATCTTGAAATAATTTTTATGTTTATCCCTTATACCTTATAAGGGTATTGACTTTAACAAAATAATTGGAAATTTTGACATTTTCATATCTAGACAGGAGGAAGAGTATGACCGGGAGATGAAAAATAACCTTCACATCTCGTCTCTAGCCTTCAATATAATATGTTAATAACTTCCAAATTATTGGTTCAAAAGCTGTTATCGACCAGTCAATTTCTTAATTAGATAAATTATCTACAAAATAAGTTAGTTAATTATGTTTGTTGCCTTTTGAAAAAATAAGGTTGATACTTTTATAAACCATAAGGGACGAACATTAAAAATACTTCTTGATTGATAAATTGTAGTATGATTGATATAGTATGAAACACAATTGATATTAATTTTACGGGAAATTATATAGATATTAGAAAAATTGAATATAAATATGACGAATAAAATAATTAAAAAAATAAACCGCCAAAAACAGTAATAGAACTACGTAGAATAATGACCAGAAATAGAAATATGATTGTGTAAAATACGTTATAAGGATACCTTTATAAAGCATATGGGACGAACATTAAAAATACTTCATGATTGATTAATTGTAAAACCCATATATATATATATATATATATATATATATATATATAAAATAAACCAATAAAAAATTATCAATATTATTTTTGTTTCATCGAAAATGCTGCTTGTTGATGAAATTATAACCACTAGTATATATACATAAATTTCTAGAATAGGCAGGTTATAGTTCGCGGGCGGCATCTAGTGATTTATTAGAATATCTCAAATTCGTTGACCAGCTAATTATTTTGTACACCTAAATTGTTGCTTAGTGAACTTTAGAACGGTTAACTTAATTAAAAATTTATTGCTGTCTACTCTACGTTGATTTCATAATTCGACTGTTGATTTAATCGAGTCAAAAGTTAAACTTATAAACTAAAGTATGTTTCTCTGTAATTAGTATATTTTTTAAATAACTTAAATATAGTTGCTTAACATTATTTACTACAATTTATATAACTTTCGTTGCTATTAAATATTTAACGTACTATTGACTTAAATAAATTATTTTATGTTTGCACGGTAGTCTTGTTTACTATTAGATACTTTTGTTTCTATTTGACACAAATACTTTATCAAGAGTTTTGTTGGTTGACTCTATTGTAGTATTTCATTTGTAATATTATATAATTATTATTTTTATTTATTGCATTTATTTATTTTTTTGTAGTTAGTCATTTTGCTTTCTTTTTTTTTTTGTTGATTAGTTCGAGAAGAAATTCAGATTTCGACAGCACCACTAGTGAGCGTATTCCATATAAAAGGTACCATAAAGCTTACTTTCCTTAAAATATATTGCACAAAATTTTAATTATTCATTAAAAAAAAATCATTTTACAGCATCTTAAGTTAAAATTTTTTTTTTCCAGAGGAAAGAGTCGAAGTGTTGATCATGGACTCTCTTCGCCATTTGATTTGGATTCCTTGCGAAGTAAAGTTGAGGGCAGATTCGAAAGCGTCGACAAACTCAACAGAGGTGAGAGACTTTTTATAAACTTTTATTTTTATATGAAGTACTGACAACTAAAGATTGTTTGAAGTTTTGACAGTCTTGACCAAAAAAACTTTCAAGATGACTTAATGTTTTTCGTAGGTTATAAAATTCCTCGCTCGCATCTAATGTAAGCCAGGTAGAGGTCAGCTTAACATTAATTGACCTGCAGTGGCCTATGGTGCAATGTCCCGAACCTGTCGAACCCTAAACCCTTTAGTTAATTAAACATAATAAGTGATTTATGGCTCTGTGCTTCAGAACTTTTGTACTTAAAACTCTTATCGCTGTTGCCAGTTAAGCATTGCACAGTGATGCTTAAAAACTCGTTTCAAATAAACGCGTGGAGCGATCGAATGTAGTAAGTAAAAAGATTCTTGTAAAAAGACAAGACTGTATCAATAATTTAACATCAACCATGTTAGTAGAAGAATATAATTTTTTGAAAATATTAAATACTTTTATGAAACGATTCCAACGGTTAGTTAGAAAAACGATCGACAACGTACTTATTATGACCATAACGTTCATAAAAAGTAATTCCATTATGTGAACAAGTTGTAAACTGTTGAAATTTTATTTTAAATGGTTATACACCGTCAACTGCGAGAGAATGATGAACGAGTGGAGTAAAGTGAGAACGATAAAGATAACTGAGTTGTGCTAAGGAAGAGAGAGAAGCGGAAACCTTGTTTTTGTTTTGACAAAGCTGAATGTGAGCTTAATGTTTATGTTGTATTATTCATTTAGAAATGTAACGCGTTTGTATATTCCTTAGAGTAAATTCTATATGCTAATAAATAGTAAACAACAAATCATTGTTATGAGAAGTGATATGTAATTTGCTAACCGAGTAATATAAATATCACTTGTACATGAATTATTTGCTTTGAACAATGAAAATATTTTTCTCAGGTTTTATAATTGAAATTTTACTATGAATGTTATTTAATAAAGTTTTTCTATTAAAATTTGGATTAAATTACAATAACAGCCAACTTATTGATAAATCAATAAACACGAAAAATATTTTCTTCTATATTAAAAAGTTCAAATTGAAAATTTTCCATACGTCACATATCGGCTCAAGTTCTTACAGTAGTTTTACTTTATAATTACTTGGTAAACATGATATTTCATTTTCAATAAGTTCACGCTATTGTAGTTGTGACCAAAAGTCTAGTGATTTCTTTTTAGCTAGTTGAATTGTGGGTCAGATAAGATTTTCTTATACATGCAATCAATTGTTTAGTTTCGTCCTTTCGTATATCGTTAAAAAACGCCCAAGGTACGATTCATGTTGTGCTTTCCTTTTAGCCTCTCGTGTTGTTGTCTTCCATCGGTCGTCGCCACACGTTTTCGCACGTCCTTCCGCCATCCGTCGGCCGGTTTCGAGTCGGTTCGCGTTCCGTCGACACCCGGCAGGGTCTATCAGCTGTGGGCCAATTTCAGACGGGGTGGTCCGATCGATCAGCTATTCCCTGCGTGTGCTCAATGTTTATAAAAATGCTGCGTTTCTCTCTGAAACGTAGTTAGCTCCTGTCGTTTTTTAGCCACTTTTTTACTATTGAAAATATACACAATTTTTAACGACGCGTCAACACAGCGTCCTATGCATCAGACAAACGCATCAAACAAATTCCTCAAACGATACACCCTGAGAAACTGACTATTCTGTGATGTCAAATCAAAGGTAACATTGTAGTGCCGTCCCGTCTTGGCTTAGATAGATAGTAGATCGCACGCATTTGTATTATTGTATTTGTATTTTACGATTGCTGTCGAGCACACAGTCTTCATACACTTCATTTGTTGTAAGCTGGCAAACAGTAACAAGTACAATCCATTGAGTTCAAATCAAAAATAAGTAGTATAAATTTGAATGTTTTTCGTTAGTATTCGATACATTTATGTATTAAATTTCTCCTATTTTCCAATAGGTTATCTAATATTGGTTTCCTATTGAATTTGTAAATAATTAATTAAGTTTCATTTCTGAGCATATACTTGTATACCTAGGTGAATATTGATTTTTAACGATAGCCGAACGCCTGCTGTGTTCGGTGGTACCCAAGGTTAACCTGTTCTAAACATACGACACCAATTATTATAATTTACTTCGTTATCACAAATTAAATTTTTAAAGCGAAGGGATGATATGACTAAATGACACGACAAACGGACTATTCATATCGGTTCGTTACTTGTTGAAGAATTTACACATCTTGTTCTGGTAATCGTTTTTGATTTTAAAGCAATCATAGGTTGGTGTTTTAAAGATACAAAAAATAAAAAAGGAAGCTTAATATTTATAAAGTATTCCCAAAAATCTAGATAAATGTACACTTAGTACACACGTGTATTGTCGATTTCGTTCTATAGTAACTTGTAGTTAAGTATCCGTGTTGTTATCGTTTGTATATTGATTAGTTTTTGTTGCCAAAGGATGAGAGGTACACATGAAATGTTCGTGTGGGATAACTTCTTCTTTTCGTTACACAAAAACAACGTGTAAAATCTACTGACCAAGCGCTTTAGTCAAGGTCTCTTAAAGACTTAGTCAGATTATTATAAATAATGTATAATTCTGTTGTCACCTATTTCCCACGGCCGAAAATCTCATCCACGAACAGATCATGATTCCATCAGCAGTTTATGTATTAATATAGTTTAAAACCGACGTTTTCATTTCATTCTTTGCATGGCGTTGGATAACAACAAACAAATAATCTGCTCGGTTACTCACAAAAAAATATTTATTGCTACATCAGCTGCAACAATAAATTCTAATTTACAAAATGCTATTACAATGCAAATGAAGAAACTATATAATCTCTAATGAATAATATTTACTAATTAGTTAAATAAAATAACTTATTTACTTTATTGACTCATAGACATTTTGTTTTTGATTGGATAAATATGTTTAAAAATGTTTTCTTATATTCAAGTGTATGTTTAATGCTATATACTTATTCTATGTATTTAAATATAAGTGGTTAAGATCTTCTAAGTTTTCCTGTGAAATCTTAATAGTTGTCAAGTATTTTTGCTTACTAGATAGTCTTTTAGCTTCGATGCGAAGCTGAGAAGGTATTGGTTTTACTATGATGTGTTTTTTTTTTTTTTTTTTGTGTCTGTTACCACTTTTTCTCAGCTCTCACCGAACGGATTTCTTTCAACGATACGTCAAAAGATCACAAATTGTATCTAGTCGAAGACATTACCCTTCAAAATTGAAAAAATTTCCCTCGTTCCCCGTAAATGGGGGGAAACCTCCAAAAAAATTACAAATTTAAAAATCGCTAATTTTCGAAATTTTTTCAATTTTTTTTACTAAAAACTGCCGTAACTTTTTCAAAAATGAACATATCAATATAATTTTTTTTTATATAGATGCTTGATGTCTTTACCTATCATTTGGTATATTTTTTTTGTAAATCTGACACTTAACCTGCCCACAGGGGGGGATTTAAAATGACAACTTTTTCACAAAAAATTTACTTTTTCAACATAACTTTTGAAAATGTTCCGGAAGGTCTGACACTTTTATATATATCTTAAATTAAAGCTAATGTAATATACTTTAATTTGACCTCTGGACTTGTCTTCACGGCGAAAATGGCTATCAAATGCTATTTTTGTGTGAAAATTCTCGAATTCTTTATTATTTATATTATATTTAACTTTATAATGCTATAACTTATTGAAAAGTTTATGGATCCACACAATTTTTTTATGAGAAATAATATTTTTTAATAAACTCTTTTTCATTCGACATACTTTATCTTAATCAGGATATTAATAAGAAACCAGCAGATCAAGTAGCTTTTGGAATAAAACACCAATTTTTTTAAAATTAATCACTATTTAAGATTTGCATCGAAGCGTTTATTATTGATAGTGATTTTAATCACTGTCAAATATCATTATACTTGATCCAACTATGCCACGTCACCACTGTGCCGCGACCCCCCTGTGCTGGGTTTTTATTTATTTTTTCTTGTGTAATTATAAGTAGACTATGTTTATATTAATGATTTTTTTAACCAATAGCTTTAAATAAGTTGAACCTTCGACAAAAGGCCAGATTTTACGCATTGCGACGCTTGGCATCATGAATTGGCTCCAAAGTATAAGACTGAAATATTTATCAGGTGTTCAGTTTCTATTGGTCATCCTAATTAGTTTTTATAAAACTTGTTTATATACTAGTTTTTAAAAACACTGTCAGATATTCAATATTTAAAAATTACTATTATTTTAGTTTTGTTAATTTACCTCCAACTAAATTTTTATTTTATTAAAATAACTTTTAAAATAAAATTGAAGTAATACCATCAACCCAAATAGTTGTCTGAGACATTACTTTTCTTTATTTTGTATTTCTAAGTAACAATTTATCGATTTGCTAAAATAAAGTTCTCTCAATTTAATATACTGGATTGATACTTGATATAGTTTAATAAGTTATCAGTCGGTAGTATTATTTATTGCTATATTTGTTTGAAAACACTGAACGTGAAGTGTTTTTTTTAAATAACTCAAGTTTTAGGGTTGTCTCTATGGATTTATCCAACGATTAGCATTTTAAACACGTTTATAAAAATATTATTTTTTCTGTCAGGATTTAGCAGATCGTGATTCTTGTTTTTTAGTCCTTTTGGCCGTTCTTCAAGACCCCTTACTCTACAGTTCTCTGTTGTATATATATATAACCAAGGATATTGGATTTCAGTACGGATATTTTTGAATTGGTCATAAAACCTTTTTCATTGAGTCGTTTTTGCGAGCATAAGCCGTTGAAAGTTGATAAAAAAATAATAAATAAATGGCAATTTCATGCGATTTCACAACGTTTATAATGTGGTGGCACAGCGTTCAAACGGTTGTATTTATCTGTCTTGGATTCGAATCAAAACCCATTAAAAGCTGATTAGGCCAATATAGGAACAATTATATCTACAATTACCAAAAGTTATTGG